TATTATTATTAAATGAAAATTAAATGCAACCTAAGATTAAATAAAATCTGATTGGATCAACAGCATTTGACGCACTTGCAAAAACTATTTATTTTAAATTATTTTTGTTTATATATTATTTTTATTATTTTCTAAATGATTATTATTATTTACTATTATTATTATTTTGATCATTCTTGTTCTTTATTATTATTTCTTTACTTTATTATGTACAATGATTATTTTGATTGTTGTTGTCGTTATTAACTTATTAATGATGATGATGATCGTTTTTATTATTATTTTAATTATTGCTATTATTATTGTTTAATTTTTTTTTTTTTTTTTTTTGTCAGTTAGTACTTGTAATGTCAGAGTTTGTGTGAAAGACTGAAATATTATGTCTGCACAGACATACATTTTGTAATGATAAGGTGTGCTGTGAATCTTTTATGGGCATTAATGGAGTCTTTTAATCCACACAAATAAATGTGAACCCTCTTTATTTGCCTTGATCTCTAGTTGAAGTGAGTGATCTATTAGATATGTTTGCATCTGCATAATGCCTATAGCCACACTGTCTTCAAAACATACCAACAATTATTATAATTTTTTATTGTAGTTTTTTGTTGATTATTCAAAGGTTAGCTGTATGGAAGTCTTTGATTTACATCATCAATATAAATGTTAAACGAAAGTGACAGTTAAAAATGCGTAGTATATGTAACTGTATATTGACCATAGTTGTATTTTATCATTTTGCTGCCGTTACTTCACACTGTGGCTAAAAACATTCCTTAACCGTAGTAAAAACACTGTAACGCAGTGTTATTCCCTTAATCTATATCCTTACACATTTAGTTAGCATAAGAGTATTTAAATATTTTGTTTGTTTGTTTGTTTCTTCTAAAATTCTTTTTGATTTGATTTTCTATTTCATGGCCGTCTCTGTCCTGTAGATGGCAGTGTGGATCTTTCCGAAGAGGAAATGGAACAATCCGTTTCAGGTGAGACCTTCATAAAGGATACTAGCGTACTGCATGCTGCACAGTACACACTACAGTACATGCTGCACACTACACACTCGTATTTTACAAAATATAATTTGCGATTTTAATCCAATTTTGGTGCAAAACTGTGGACAGTCTGATCAAATATTGAGTCAATAAGGAGATGCATAACAAGTACATATTCTGCACAATATACAATATCTAGTATGCATTGAATGTGTGTGCTTTCTACCCTGAGTCGTCATATATCGGTAACTCTCTTCTGCAGGTCTGCTCTTCACCCTTGATTCGTCCTGCTCTGATTCATCGCTTCACCTCTCAAGCTCCGCCCTCACCGTCACCTTCACGGGTCACATGATCTCATCACATGACCGCAGTGATCAGGGCTCCTGTCAGCTTCCTCAGGTGTGCGGCAGCGTGAGCGTCTCCAGAGGACAGTATTACTGGGAGGTGGATGTCTGCAACAGCGCCATCTACAGGATCGGTGAGAGAACAGCAGTTTTCAGTGATCATGTTTGATGTGCTGGTGATGCATATATGAAGATATTTCAATAAATAAAATATTAAGACCAGTCGTGTGAGAAAATGTATGTCTTTTATTGAAGTATTAGAGCAGTGTGGGGCGTCACAAGGGACTTGAAAAGAAATCAGAAGGGTTAAGACATTACATTTAAAATTTTCATATTATAGTTAAATAAAACTAAAATAAAAAAAAATCAAAATGTTTATAAAATAAAATATTAAAAAAAATTATTTCAGCTAGTTTATTTTATTTTAATTTGAAGTACTAAAATAACTTAAATGAATGAAAACAGACAAAAACTCACAACAAAATGACCAAAACTTTAACTAAAATTAAAATGGAAAATATAAAAATAAAACTTAATTCAAACTGTTAATAAAAACTATTATAGTATTGTGATACTAAAATAACACCAATTTTTATTACATTTATTGGTTAGACAAAATTAGGACTATTATTCTATAATTTATTTTATTTAAAGTAATAAAAATGTTTTTTTTTTTAATAAAACAAATAAAAATGAAAATAAATAAAACTTTGTTTCATGTTCATTGTTTTCATGTCTTTTATTTATTTTTAGTTTTTTCATAGTCATGGTTCCTGTCATGTCATGTGTTACCCTTGCCCTCAAGTGATCCTGCTATTGGTTCCTTTGTTCTATGTGTCATGTTCTGATTGGTTGTCTAGTTCAGTGGTTCCCAACCCTGGTCCTGGAGGCACCCCAACACTGCATGTTTTGCATGTCTCCTTAGTCAAACACACCTGATTCAGATTATCAGCTCATTAGTAGAGACTCCAAGACCTGAAATTGGTGTATCAGAGAAAGGAGATATGCAAAATGTGCAGTGTTGGGGGGCCTCCAGGACGAATTCTGTGGACTCTGTTACCTAGTTCATTTTAATGATGTGGCATTTTTCGTAATGTGTTAAACGAACCCATTTGTTCACAGCTTCCAGGGTCCTTCACTGGTCTCTGGTAAAAAGACATAGACCGTGCCCTTCTGCTTAGTGGTTCCTCATTTACTGTGGGGACTATGGATGAGGAACCCCACAATTCTCCAGTACCTACCACACCAGAGCCTTCAGCCATCATGCCTGCCACACCAGAGTCTCATCACATCATGACTACCACACCAGAGTTTTTCCCTGCCCGAATCGTCATGTCAGGATTTATTCACGCCACAACCACCAAGCTAGGGATTTCAGCTGTCATGCTAGAGTCTACAGAGCCTGTTCACGTCATGCCCACCAAGTCACAGCCTGAGTCATCAGCCAAGACGGCCTCCACGTCAGAGCCCTTATGTTGCCATTGTCCATTGTCTAGCTTTCTTCATGTAACCACTGTTTGGTGGGTTTGTTCACACCAGAGCCCCGTGGCGTCATGACCGCCACACCAGAGCCCCGTCGCGCC